TTAAGAGGAGCTAGTTCAATTTGTTAGCTTGTTATCAGAATCATAGTTGCAGTTTCATCATCTGAGCTGCTTTTTCAGATCTAGGTAAACTTGTTCAATTTGGGGTTAAAAACAAACGTTTTCACATATTTTCCATGTAGTTTTTTTTGCCAGTTCCTCTTCTGAAAGGTAGATGACTGTTTTTCTCTTTCCCTCAGAAAATCTTAATATTATCCTAGTTTGGCCCAGCACAGTTCACTTTCCAATTACAGCAGCAGCCTTATATCATAACCACATAAGTGGAGAAAATGCTCAGTAGCAATGAGAGAATTTGCTGTTGCATTTAAGTGATGTTAACTATTATTTAACATTTAAACTTATTTTCTGAATTTTTTTTATTTATTCTAAAAACCCTGGTAAGGAATGTTTTTCTGTATTTGGAGCATCAGAAAAAGTTTTATGGTGGAGGTGATGTTTTAAAGTCACTGAGAAACTGCAGGCATGCAGTTTGTTGTTTTGCTGCTAATACAGTAGCAGGTGCAGCTGCATATTTTAGCAATAAAAATTTTATGTTGTAATGGGATTCATGCATTAGTTTTTGTTTGCTTTGAACCCAGAGCAGACGTCACACGCCAGATGACATCAACACTGCATACTTTAGTATTTGTTCATTTATCGTGAGTAATATCGGTATCGCAATATTAAGCACTGTTATCAAATATCGCAGGTTTTCCTAATATCGTGCAGCCCTACTAAATAGCAAAAATATTTCACACATAACAAACTAAAGATAATCACTACAGCATTGCACTTAGAACAGAAAACACAAACTAAAATTAAAACCTAACCTTGATGCAAAGTCATCAATAATGTCATCATATGAAATCTGCTCCCCTACTGAGTGATTGATACTAATCAGAGCCAGGTGAGTGAGCCGCCCCTGAAACATAGGTGACCTCAGGTATGACTTGATCAAGTTTTGAAAAGCTCCTCTCAGCTTGAGCCACAGTGACTGGCAGAGCAGTCCAAAAGTTGGGGTAGATCTCCGATAGATCTTTATCATGATCTATAATATTTTAGAATTGCCCCTGAAATTGTAATTTAAACTGACATGAAAAGCTGTAGACTACCAAAAAATGCCAACTTTTACAGAACAAATCATGTAAAGAATAATCAGTGCAGTCATCTGCAATAAATAAACAGGATAGTTAGTGGTGACTGGGGAGTTTTCTTCTGCTTGTAGAGTTGTTTTATTTATTATCATGTGAACATGATCAACATGTGTTTGTTGTTGTTCAGGCAGGCCACAGGCTGCAGCGAGCATTTAGCAAATCCTAGTTTGAATCAGTAAAAAACGAAGGATTTTTTTCGAACCATTTGAATATTCGTTTCAATATTTCAGCCCTATTTGCTCTGTTAGCAATTAGCTGACCAAATTTAACCATTAAAATCCCAGTTAACTGATTCAAAACATTGAAAACATGCATCATGAGAGCAAATATACCTTTATCTTTCTCCTCTTTTTTTCTTTATTTTCCTGAATCGGGCACCTGGTGGTTTTAGTCTTTTTATGTTCATCTCTTCTGTTTGGCTCTTGACTCAATAAGTTTCCTTTAGTCAGGACTAAACAATTTGACCTTGATGGGGGGGGGGGGGGGGGCACAGAATCGTTTTGTTTTTCCTTTTTTTTATTTGGTCATTTCACACAGAAAAACCTGAAAGAATGATAGCCCTGTGTTTATGATATTATGAATGAGATGTGCGTTAAATGGAAGAACATCAAGATGTGATTGACTTTAGCCATGTTAATACAGGTGACTCAGCCCCTACCCGCTCATTTCATTTGGACCCACCCAGAGGTGAATTCCCCCGCCGCACCCCTCCCCTTCCTCTTCTTCATACACGCACGGTGCACGTGAACGTTCTCAGTCAGCAGGAGCGCCTGCAGCTGCAGGGGGCGCCAACTTACTGTTTCCAATTCAGAGTCAGACACTGTCATATGACAATAGAAAACCTCGGTGCGGCACAGATTTCTTTCTTTTTTATTTTTTACTCAGCGCTTGTGCGCCCCTTTTGTGTCATGAAAAAATGCGCCCTGGGCAACTGCCCTGTCTGTTCGTGGTGCCATTTAAGGATTCTGTAAAGGTGAACCGCCTTTTATGTTTGCATTCTGTTTTCTCTTGTTTTGGTTAGGGAGGTAAGTTTGTTTGTCATTTATTTCCTTTAAGTTTGTACGTCAGTTTGCTCTTGAAGTTAGAGGTGTTTTGTTTATTGTTTTAGGCACTGGTTCCCCCTATTAATCCTCCCTCTTCCATAGTTAATCACCTTGTCTTTGTAAATAAATAATTGTACAAAGAATTTTGGTGTGGTGGTTTGCAATTGGTGGAAAATTGAACCATTTGTATGTCATGGCCTGGCCCTTCTAGATGGGCTGTAACACTGTTACCTTCCTAAATATGTTTTATTTGCTGTCTGTCACTCAGATCGACATACGCATTGTTCACTTCTCCGCACAGTCCATGGGGACCTTGTTCCATCTCATTCGACTCAAAACAAAGTGCATGTTTCACCACATTTTCCCGTAGTTAAGCTAACGACTATATTCTAGCTTTTAAAATACCTAAGGCTGCCACGACACAACCCTTAGATGGGCATATTCCGTGAGCATACATTACACCAGAATGAAGACGAGAACCGCAGTATCGATGAAAGGCATTCCATCAGCTGAAGGGCTTATCAGCAACATGAGCTAGCATTAGCACTGCTAAAAGTTAAGCTCTGTGGAGATGAACGTCTTTATCTGCCAGCACCGCAGCGACAGACTGCAAATTAATTTAAAATCCCTTCGGGCTAAAGCTTTGGTGAATATGTAGCTTTGGAGAAGGCCATGTAATGTCAGAGGTCACCAGACATTCAAGTGTCCAGCAGGTTTCTTCTGTCAGGAATGTGTGCTCCTTCTTAACCTCTAAAGTAAAAAAAATCCTTTTATGAGCCAGAATTTGATATTTTTATTAAAAGGGAGTTAGATAAAAGTCTTGTCTCCTGTAGGGATGTCTTGTAAGGGGACCTTGAAGTCTATAAGGACACAGAAAGATCAGGAGATATTAATTATTGCCTCCTCTTGATGTCAGGCCAACACAACCTGGGCTGGCTAGGTTGGTATCACTGGGCGTTTCTGGTATGGTACTCCAGTGGTTTTATTCATACCTCACTGGTAGAACTCATCACATTCAACTACAGACTTTTACCTCCTCTTTTACTGTTGTTTCTGCTGGGGTTCCTCTGTTGTTTTTTCTTTTTTATTATCCAGTCTTGCCTACTGTCAGAAGATGTCTTTAGTTTAATTCTGCATGCATGCTCTGGGACCATAGGGCCGATTTCCTGACGGGGTCAGGGGTCATAGAATTTGTCCATGTTTCAATCCAGTTAAAGTTTTTAGAAATTAGACAGTCATTGTACTTGTTTGTTTATGTTATTTCTGTGTTACCCCCTTCATTTAATGATGATGTCATCATCACAGGGCAGATTGTTGTGGCCAGTGACCTTTGTAAGCATGACATTCATAATTTGATATCAGACTATAAGTGTGGAATCATTCCATTGTTATGTAATCCAGCAACCTAGGAAGGCCTCAGAGCACTGCTCTGTCCATGTTTGACTTCAGGTTAAACATTTACCGTAGCAGAGATTTGTTATCTTCTGTTTTTTAAGGGACCAAATATCAATCCATCAGCTCCTGGATCAAAATGACCGTGGGTCATAATGACAATAGCACTAGCCAAAAAGTACAGCTCTAAGTTTGGATAAGCCATCTGGTTTCAAGTGTATGTATGCATGTATCAAATGTTTTGAAGAGCATATGTAAGTCTGACATAAACAGTAAAAGGGCTGAATTGAATGTCAGGATTTGGGATTCGGATGACTGTCCTGACTGAAGCATGATGTGTAAATGAAATCCCCCATCAGCTGAAAAAGATTTCCAGCCACAGATTCTTATTATTTAAGCTTCTACAGGAGCTGATTCCACAGGAGAGGAGCCTGGTAGCTAAAAGATCTGCCTCCCATCCTGATTTTAGATATTCTGGGAACCACCACTAAACCTGCATTCTGAGAGCGAAGTGCTTGGTTAGGAACGTATGGAACAATCAGTTCACTGATGTATGATGGAGCTTGATTATTAAGAGCTTTATATGTGAGAAGGAGGATCTTAAAATCTATTCTGAATTTAACAGGTAGCCAATGTAGGGAAGCTAAGACAGGAGAGATATGATCTCTCTTTTTAATTCTCATCAGAACTCTAGCTGCAGCATTTTGGACAAGCTGAAGACTTTTAACTACATTCTGTGGACTTCCTGAGAGTAATGGATTACAGTAATCCAGGCTTGATGGAATAAATGCATGAACTAGTTTTTCAGCAAAATTCCTGGAAAGGGCAAACAATTTGAGAGACCATCAACCTGACAGTCATGTTTTTGGACTGTGGGAGGAAGCTGGAGAACCTGGAGAGAACCCACGCATGCACAGGGAGAACATGCAAACTCCGTGCAGAAAGACCCCAAGCTGAGATGTGAACCCAGGACCTTCTTGCTGCAAGGCAACAGCGTTAACCACTGCACCACTGTACAGCCCTAGTTTGAGCAATATGTTGATTTTAATAATTAGGAGTCAACTAACACAATCCACTTGCTGCAGCCAGGATTCTGTGATCGATCTGATAATAACACTGACGTTTAACTGTTGCAGCATTTTAACCACGGTTGGTGTTGGTGAAAATATCAAACTTGCTTGATGAGAATGCTTCTTAGAGAGTACAGTCTGATCAGCTTCACAATGATGCCCTGACGCTTTGGAGGTGTTTTGGAACCTTTAGGGAGGCAAAACTCTCAGACCCAAACGGAACAGTCAGATAAAGAAATCTGGGACTGATTGTGCTGAGAACATTCCACATGTTAAAGTTAATGAACACACACACATACACGCGCGCACGCACGCACACACACAAGCAGTCTAATGAAACGGTCTTCAGTCACAGATTTCTGTTTAATTTTTTATACCATTTTCTTCCTTTGAAAATTAACTTTACATTTTTCTAATAAGTAATCATCTTTCTGTCAACATTTATTACCGTCCTTCAGTCCAGATTAATAACATTCAAGCTGAGCCTTTAAGGCCACCGTACAAACTCCAGATCACAATGAGAGAAAATACATGCCCAATCAGAATTTACACAAAAAGGTTTAGTAGCCTTTTCTAACTGTTGCTGTTTTTATCTGTTTTAGTCCAACTTCACAGAACATCACAAACAGCAATAACAAAACTAGAGAACTGTGGTTAGTGGTAAAAGATCTGTGACTAGTTTAATGAGTCAGGTCTCCTTCAGTCCTGGGCCTTCTACAGGGGCAGAAACTGAAACATCTGTATCTGTGAGAGTAGGACCACCATGAAAGAGAATAACAGAAAACACAGGTGAAACAGCTGGTCTGATACTTCTAAAAATCACAAGTGTTCGATCCACAGTTTTAACCAAAAGTTCAGATTGTTGCTTTACTAAAATGCTGTGCCATAACAGGAGTACAAAAATACAAAAATGTGCAACTAGTCATCTCCATGGTAACTGACAGGCCCATGAGGCAAGTGAGAGCTGAAAGCAACATTCAATGCCGAAAGAGGGGTTAGAGTTCAGATAGCGTAGTCGTCCTGAGAGGCGGGGCTAAAGGCTGAGCTCCGCAGGATGTCTAAGCAGTTGACCAGGATGAGGGTCCCAGTCAGGTGCTTCCAACGTTTGGTGATGGGGTTCTTCATCTTGTCCAGCCCCATGTGGAGCTCCTGGATCACGTCCCTGTAGCTCTCACCAATCTGAGCTGCCCACGTGACCAGGAAGTCGTACGCAGGTTTCCACATGGCCTGCAGGCAGAAAAACAAAAAAGTAACTATCTGATAGCTACCAGCTGACTGTGTCTTCATTTAGCTGCAGCTACCGGCTTAGTGTGTGTAGTGCTGTGTGGGTAATTCCTGCACCAATCAGAGCACTACTGCGAGCATAGCTCGGGGGATTACTTTTCACAAGTAAGTTAGAGTATTTTTGTAGTTTGTATTTAGTAAGTATAACTTTGCTGTACTGTAATTGTGTTCACCAGCAGCACCTCCTAGCCAGCTAACGTTAGCTACAGCTACCAGCTGCTGTCTCCCTGACAGTGAAGCTAAATGAGACTTTACTAATTATTTATTCCTAAACACTGACTTATAGTACAGCTGAAACAAGAATGCTGCTGTAGAAACCAAACACATCTTCCTGGTATCAGATACATCTCATGTCTCTGACCCTCCTCTCTGACTGGAGAGTTAGCTAACAAGCTAACATGCTGAAGAGACATTTTCTGGTTCACCCTTTGAAAAGTTTCAGTTCATTATCATTAGAAATGATGGTGAAAAGTTGGAGGAAGAAGTGTGAGGCTTCCTGCAGCTGATTTATTCTGATCAGAACTGGGCTGTGTCAGACTGGGAGACTCAGAGATGGAGTTTATTCTTCAGCTTCCTGGTTCCCCTTCAGAGAGTACCGTATTTTCCGGACTATAAGTCACACTTTTTTTCATCGTCTGGCTGGTCCTGCGACTTATATACCAAATTATGTATACCATCCTGCTGCGGGCCGGTGCTCTGGGAATTTCTCCTACCCCGTAAACCGTCCTACCCGTTGTTACTGAGCATGGGCACGCATGCGCACAACACAAAAGGGGAATGCTACTCCGCTGTCATATTTGCAGGAAAACAGATAAGTAGTAAGTATTAGTACTTTTTATTGACTTTGATACTTGATTTTTTTTGGTTAGAGTCATGGTTAGGGTTAGGGCTTGTGTCATGTAAAACACCGTAAAATTATCCTACGGGTAGGACGTTTTGCCAAAGTAGGACGTTTTCTCAGAACACCGGCTCCGGACCAGGTCTCAGCTCCTCTGCCCTGCTGGGAGGGTTTCAAACACCACCATCACCTGCTGCAGCCTGTGGTGGGGACTGCGCCCTGGTTGTTTATTCTGTTATTGTTACCGGTACTTGTCTCGCAATGTGAAATGCTTGGTCTCAGATTTTGTAAGAAAAATAATAAAATTTCCCCCAAATGAGAACTTAAATATGTTTTTTTCTTCTTCATTATACATTCTATGGCTGGTGTGACTTATACTCTGGAAAATACAGTAAGTGTATCATAAAGCCATCAGCATCCATACACACACACACACACACACACACACACACACACACGCGCGCGCGCGCACACACACAGAGCTATTCTCTTCTCTCATTCCCACACTGGTTGGCAGCTCCGTCCTACAGACAGAAGTTTACTCAACAGCATGAAAATGAGTCGCACATGCGGGAACCCCCCCGCTGGCTCATTCTTCTAGCAGACTGGAGGCGGCAGGCATAATGTCAGCCAGCCAATCAGTACGTAGTGTCGCCTCGGTCCCAGTCTGACTGCTGGGGAGAAGGTCTGAGAAAAAGAGTCGCCTCGGCACCGAACTGTGTAAAACCAAATTCTGGTGCTGTTCCATACCTTTTGGGGCCGTGGTGACGCTAACGTGTAAGCGCCATTAGTGACTATGTTGCTCACATATGGAATTAGCTCCCCCATGATCTCGGATGTGCCCCAACTCTAGTGTTGTTTAAAACAAAACTAAAACCCTAATGTACTCATCAGCCTTTACATGAATTGTTTCTTATCATAGAAGAGGAAGAGTCAAAGGGAGATCATGCATTTGTAGACTATTTTATCTGCCCTCTTTCTACTAAGAGACAGGATTTCTTAAAGTATCACCCACAACAAGATGCCACAAACCCTGTTGTCCAGAGGCTCTTCACTAGACCAGACGACATCACGTGGAAATGGTTGACTTATTGTGGTCAACGTCATGCTTTACTTTGTTTTGTTTGCCTTGCTTTTAGCAAGCCCAATGATCCAAGTATTTTAATTAAAGACATGACACACTGGAGGCATGTGCACCAAAGAATAGAGGCGCATGAGAGAAGCATGGCACAAAGACAATGTGCTAAGGCATATTTTTTTAACTGCTCTAGAGCAAGCATTGGTCACCTCCTTGAGGGAAGACAGCTGAAAGGACAACGTGAACAGGTTAAGAAGAGACGCCAGGTGTTGGAACGTGTGGTTGAAGTTGTTAAGGTTATAGGGAAGAGAGGCTTACACGACAGGCATGAGCACAATGGAACTACATACACCTTGGAAAATGCCAGTCTTGACCGTGGTCATTTCTTAGAAATCATTATATTGTTGGGAAAATATGATGTGTGCTTAAAAGAGCATCTCAACAATGTAGTGGAAAAAAGTAAGCAGATCCATGCTTCAGGCACACTGGGTAGAGGCTCCCTGATCACCCTCCTGTCCAAGACAACTGTGAATACAGTCATCGATGCAATCAAACATTTAATAGAAGAGAGCGTCTCTGCAGACATCAAAAAAGCAGGAATGTTTTCCGTGCAGCTTGACACTACTCAAGATATTACAGGGAAAGATCAGTGTTCTGTCATTTTGAGGTACATCACTGATGCAGACCATGAAAGGCTGGCTGCAGTCATACAATGCAACACAACAACAGGGCAGTCTTTTGTGACTCTGTTAGCTGAAGTGCTTTAGCGTCTCAAGTTGGATATAGGCCTGTGCATCAGCAACTCCACAGATGGAGCCTCTAATATGCAGGGTCAATACAGAGGTTTCTCTGCATTAATGGCATCCACAAACCCCACCCATCTACACATGTGGTGCTATTCACATGTACTTAACCTTGTGTTGGCAGAAACCACCCATAGTGTCATTGAAAGTGGATCGTTATTTGACCTGCTGAATGACATTGCTGTATTTATCAGGGAATCATACACAAGAGTGGGCGTGTGGGAGACTGAGAGCCAAGACAAAAGGCACAAACACATTTCGCCAATTGGAGAGACGAGATAGTGGGCCAAACATGATTCGCTGAGGAAAGTTTTTGTAAACAGTGGCAGACCTGATGGTGGTCTTTATGTTGAAGTGGTGTCCACACCGTCTGCCGTAATGAACCTGAAGACACTTGCAACAATGCATGAAACAAAGCCAGAGGATATCGAGATGGTTTACTCCGATATGAAACTGTGCTAACAGCTCAGTTATTTCTCCGGATATTTGAGATCACCTCACCCCTGTCAAAATACCTACAGACCGGAGGAATGGGCATCCTCTCAGCACATTGAATGGTCACCACAACACAAGAATCACTGAAAGAGATATCAAGAGATTTCTTAGCTGTCAATGATGCAGCTGCCTGTTTTGTCCGCTGGGCAAATGAAAAGCAAGTGGAGGCTGCACTGCCTCACAAGAGGGTGAAGAGAAAGAAAGTCTTGGCAGGAGCGATAGCCCAGAATGAAAGCCTCAGGGATTCACAAAAGGCCTATGATGTAAATGTTCACCATCAGATTCTTGATACAGCTGTTGAGGCCATGCATAGAAGATTCCTTACTCATGGCACCCTGTATGCAGACCTATCCCTGCTACATCCCAAAAACTTCCCCCTTGTCCAGACCAGTGCTCTCCCTAAATCTGCACTTGAAGAACTCAGCAAGTGCCTTGTTGTGTATGACGGCAGGGTGACTGTTACCAGTCTACAAAATGAACTAAAAAACTTGGCACAGTAATGGGACAGGCTGGTACAGCCACCTTTGGATGACTACACAACTACAGCAGTTGAAGAAGAATCAGATGATCATGCAGAGATGGACATAATAAGTAAACCTGTTCCTCTTGCAAAAGTTGTCCTCTGTGCTGCTACAAAATCCTCCTCAGATTTAATGTGTTGACTCATGCATACCCCCTACTTGGGTTGGCATGTAAGTTTTTGCTGACCCTGTCCATAACTCAGGTAGCCTGTGAGCGGTCATATTTAACCCTGCGCTGTATCAAAACCAGACTGAGAAGTTGCTTGTCTGCCAGCAAGCTGGGGGCCTTTATGTTGATGGCCACTGAAAAAGATGTCCTTGTGTCCCTTGAAACTGACACAGTGATTGACAGAGTTGCAGACAAGAGTGAATTACTGAAGAAACTACTTTTGCATTTGCAGCACATGCACCGCCGGTTCTGTCATGCTCTCGCTTCATCCCGCCCTTCCTGCTCTTCATGTTGACACTCGTTTTGTGAAACATGGTCAGTGATGTCATCATTAATGTTTCGGTTCAAAGTGAAAAGGCTGAACAGACATGTTGATGTCGCTGAACAGTCGCTACAGGGTCCCAAAGCCGGCCGGTGCAACCGAGATACAACCATATGACGTCACTACCCAGAGTGCATTGCAATGTTAACAACAATGGCGACCTACGAGTTAAAGTATTTTTTACAAATTTTATAAAAATGAAGACATTAAGAAGGTTTTTTACACCACTTTAATATAAATGATGCTAACATTTATCTTTTCCGAACCACAACATTTTGTAACCTGGGTTCCTTTTAACTTAACTCTATGATGCTCATTTTTGAAGGAATATTGGGCTCCACTCACGGTCACATGACTTTTACAATGTGGAGACAGAAACAATAATCTCAAACATTCTCTAACAAATGAACTCTACAACCACAATTTTTGGAGTAGCTTAACAACTTATACCTCAAAACGGAGGTATATCCGTCAGCTCTCATCCAGTGCAAGTCTCATTTTGATAGGACCTACGGTTCTCTCAGGAGAGTGCCTGAAGTGGAGCCAAGTTGGTTTGACTCCCTTGTACTTTCCCATTGTAGGAGGTGGAGAATGTTCTGAACATTTCTAAAATGTACCTAAAATGTAAGCTGCGATTGTAGACAAACCATAGAAGACATCGACAAGCAGAGTCATATGGAAATAGCTGAAAGCTTGTGACTGCTTTAATGCTTAAATGAAGTCTCTAGGTTAAAGTATGCCGCACTAGTTAAAGTTCAAAGAGCTGAAAGGATTTTGTGAAAAATCGGAGGATTTGAAGGATTTCCCATGTATTCCAATGGGACCAAAAATTGCAGAAAAGGCTGAATATCTCAAAAAGTAGAAAAAATTTTAATACGAAAAGTCATTCCTCTGAAGAGCTGAATGAGCTTAATGTTTTGATGCCAAAATTGTGTAAATAGCTGAAGAAATGTAGAATGAGTTAAGTGCCAAAAAATGTACGGAAGCAGAAAAATAAACTATAAAGAGAAACAGGAATAGTATAGTTTGAATGATTTACAGTATTCAAACAATAACATTTACGTACTTACAACATGGTGAAGGCTAAATCCTCCAAACATGTTAAATGTGTTTAGAGAGGAGCACACTGCATTCCACATGATATTCCCATACTTAATCAGAGCTACAGCATTAGCATGTGAAACAGTATGTATGGGTCTGAATCTGGGAAACTGGACGTGTCTGTGTCTGTTGGTTATTACTCAGAAAACAAAAGTTTATTCTCAGGATGATATTAGACCTACATGAAGATAACATACCTCACTGTCCACCACCCCATTCTTGTCTCGGTGTGGTGCCTCATAGGCATCCATCTGTTGGCGGGATACTTTGATGAGCCTCTCTGCCAGCTCCCTCCAGCGCCCAGCCACTTCCACTGCTGTGGTCAGGAGGACAAAGTCCATCACTAGTCGGGCCACAAGACCCTGACAGTCCATCTTCAACAGCGCCTGCAGAAAAACAGACACCAGACCTTCAGACACAATGGGACAACGCATTATGCTAATTTACATATGTTGCAGGTGACTTCCAAACTTTTAAAGTTTGTATTTTCTTAGGTCTTCCTGCTTCTGCCATGTTCTATGTGTGTCAGTCCTCATCAAAACTCTGGCTTTCTCTCTTGTTCTGATCTGCCTCAGTCTGCTCTGCCGCCGCCTACAGATGAGCCGCGACTGTTAAACAAGGTTGCATGACACAAAAAAAAGTTGCACAACTCAACAAATTGATGACAAAATGCATTGTGCACACATTTTGTCATCAATTTTTACCGATTTGTTGTTGCAGCCCTAGTGTGAACCAAACCTACCGACCCAGAACGACTCCACCCAGCCTGGACTGGACCGGCCCTAATGTGAAAGCGGCATTAGTCCACCAGCCAGTTTTACATCACGGTAGATGGACTGAAATATGTAGCTGTCCACATGGATAAGACAAATGTATCCTGGGGACTATTTTCATGATCAGATGAGACAAAGATGGAGCTGTTTGGACTCAAAGACAAGAAGTCTGTGTGGAGGAGTCCAGGTGAAGCTTTCAGACCTAAGAATATTGAAGCAACTGTCCAGCATGGTGGTGGCTACATCATGCTGTGGGAAGTGAATACTTTCACATCACAGCTCTGGCTCTCCTGGTTCTGACTCCACTGAGTGTGACTTCGTGTCTTCTGCACATGCGGGTCACTTTTGGACCGTGGAGCGTTCACACTGGAGAGTTTGATGTTGCATCAGTCATAGTGTGAACAGCCACACAAAAGAGTGGATTTACTCAAAAATCTGAACTGAGCATCAAGGCCTGCAGTGTGAACGTAGCCTAAGTGTCAGAAAATGAGGATGATAATCCACAAGAAATTATAAAAATTTGGATATAATGATATAATGAATATTTGATTTTCCATAAACATTCCAAATGTTTTTTTTTCCTGGCCAGAAGGGAAAAAAATCTCTTTTTCATTTTTAAACATTTTATTGATGACTCTGCTGCGCGTTCTCCTGTCCTCTGTCCTCCGGGCCACACACGCACACACACACACACACAAGGGACTGTCTCAGCTGTTATTTTCGTTAAGGAGTGTACACATACAGCATGCGCACCTCGTGCACGAGCCTACTATTGAAGCTGCCGTTACGCTTTTGGCCTGAGGGGCAATTGCGAGCATAAAAATTCAAAACTCCGTTAAGTCCCTTTAATCTTCATAGTTGTGTAGAATTTTAAGCCCGAGGGGGAAAATCCACCATTAATCCAAACATGTGAACACAGATGTTGTTTACAAATTCATTAAAGTTTGATGTAAAATAATTCCACCTAGAAAATAAACAGCCTCCATCTTTGGACTTGATCCGGTTATGTTCCACAACCCACCCCTTCGATCCCCCACAAATCTCAGCTTTGTAAATATTTCAGATGCTTTCAGCTGAAAACAGAAGTAAACTTTTCAGCATCAGATGTGTTTCATTTGAACTGAGGAGGGAAACTTTAAAGGAGACCTAGAATGCAGTCAATCAGTAATCTAAAACGGATCTTTGAGCCTCTATAAAGCATATTAAATTTTGTTGGAGCTTGAAATGTCCCAGGAGACCTGAGAAATGACCAACTAGAACATGCATAATAAGGCTCACTATAAAAACGTTTTCCCACCTACCCACTTCACTAGTGTGTGTGTGTGTGTGTGTGTGTGCGCGCGAAGGAGAGAGAGACTGAACAGAAAACTAAACAGAAACTAAACTACAGTCAGGGTTTCTCAGTATGTTCCCACTCAAGCCTTATATTGATTAACACTAGAACTCCCAAGGCAGTCATTTTGACTGTTTTCATATTTTGACATGTAATTGTCATGGTCTGAGCTGAGTGGCTGATTCATGACCTCTGAGTGCTTAATTGCAGGTGAGTGGCACTGACGAGCAGGCAGCTGCAGCCGATCTGTCATCTACCAGTTGGTGTATAAAAGGAGCAGGGAGACGACATCACCTCGCCGGATGGTTGCTCCCTTTGGTACACTCCAACCTGAGATCACAAGCCAACTCTCGAGTTTTAGAAATCTTCGCACTTGTCTTGAGCTTTAGCATATTTGTAATTCCTGTTGCCTGTCTTCACGTATCCTCGCCATCACCACCTCGTCAACCATAAACATGGATCATCTCACTGGACCACGTCTCCCCGCTCAACCTAACTGACCTGCTCTCAGCTACTCATCCTGCACCCACCTTCGCTCATCTGGATTCCCATCTCGAGCTCGACCCTAACCTCACGTTGACGGCACTCCTTCAGTTACCCTTTTCTGATAACGATAAATAATGTTTATTCCTTTCATCTAGTCCCCGTGTATGATTCTGAACGTCCTGGGTCAGGAAACTAAACCAGAACATGACAGTAATAACTTTAGTTAGATGGATCTCATGTTGTCCTGGCTTTTCCTATTTTTATGTGTCCTTTATTTTTGCTTTATAATTTCCATAAAATAATGTATCAAAAAAGAAATATAGCTGCTTTTAACTTGGTCTCCCACCAGCCTTCAATTTGACGGCTCTATCGTTTACATGGTAACGTTTTCCGTTGCCGTTGCTAAGCAACAGACTTTCTAGCTCGCACGCGCTCTTGCTCTCTGTTCATACTGCGTGTGAAATAGAGGCTAAAACAGCTTTTAGAAGAACATTCTCAGTGAAAAAAGCATGAGAAATGAATCTGCTTCAGGCGGAGAGGGGAAAGCTGATGAAAACTGGTCAGTAGGAAGCAGCAGAGACTCTGACAGCAACGCGGAAGATGATCTGGGACGTGATGTTTAACTTTTACTTCATCAGCGGTGATTCAACCATGAATCACTGTTGATGTGCCCACTGGGAACGTTCACTGAGAAACATGAAATATTTGCACTTCTTGAGATACGATCTATCACCCTGAGTGTTTCATGCAGACTGAACATGAAAACAGTCTCCTACACCGATCTCCTGCATTAGCTTCTGATAGAAAATAGATGGTGAAACTCTAGGATTAGAAAATCCTGACAGATCTACGTCACACCGTCACCAACATCCATGGACTCACCCGTCTTGGCTCACGACGGCAGAGTTTTACCTTGCTATTTGCCAGATTACGCGAAGGTGTAGGGCCCCACACGTACACTAGGGCCCCCTAAGTCCCTGCAGTCTACATCCTCATCTGAGAAACAAAAAAACTTGGCTTATATTCTTTAAAAGATTACAAATACCTTATTAAGGATGTAATAGCAGCAGTAAGATAAGCATTGGCTACTTTGTGGCACATTTAAGCCAAAACTTCTGGTCCCGACTCCACTGTCTGTCACATACTGGACGTCCATGGAATTGTGCTTGAATGCATTCATTTAACTCGCTCATTTTAATGGTTTTCGTGAACGTGAACTGAACTCGTTCGTAATTTGCCTGACGAACGTTAAAGTGAGCGTGTTCATTCTGGCGTACATGAACGGGTTTATGAGTGGCGTTTATAGTTATTAAGCTCCAGATCTCCCCAGAAAAAGTAGACCCTGAAAATGCCATTGCCATAGGGAGTGGTGGTCGGTGCGGTGTCAATCCTTTAATGTCTATGCTGGGGAGGATGAACGTCATGGTGTGTTCCATTTACCTCGGAAAATATACAACTACACATAACACCGATTTTAGATGCACCCTTACAAGTTCATCTTGTAAAATACACACATTTCCACCACAGCTACTAGGAGCTGCTAATTAAACCTCAAAACTGGTTTAACCCTCCCACTGTCCTATTGGGTGACCCCGCCAGGAAAGTTGACCATTGAGCAGGGTTGATGGTTTATCCCTTGAGGTCCACGTGGCAGGGGTGAGGAGTGTGCCCCACCTCACCCCTGCCACGTGGACCTCAAGGGATCAAAAGGCTACTTGAGTACTGAGTAACATCTGTTTTAGTATTTAAAAAATGTTTTGATAAAACTTACGTGAGCAGAAAATCAGAAACATAAAGTTATGGACTGGTTATGGCATTTTAAACAATACAATGAAAACAATTAAATAAAGAGAAATAATCAACATAACTACAAAATAAAACATTTTAGGCAGAAGAAACTTTTCTATTGTATTATCCATACATACATTATTCAATGTCTTTGTCTCCGAGTGCTTTCTAATTTTTATTAATCTTGCTTGAGTGACTTAGCTTGAGATGTTTACTTTTAATATCAGAAGCTATCACAGGGTTTCCCCGACAAAATGAGTTAAGCCTGGTGGATTCGGTCGTCGGGGGGTGGGGGGGTGTTGCGCGCTCCGTCCCGCAGCGCTCTTCCATGAGAGTGTGTGTGTGGGGTGCACACTTTTCGCTGCTGTTTCTCGCCAGTATCAGCTGATGGAGGGCTCTAGTTTCGTTGCGCTGTTCGTGTCAGCAAACCCACCCCGCCCCCCTCCCCGACATGTAGGGTCGGGGAGGGGGGCGGGGTGGGGCATGACGCTTAGCCTGGCGGGTGGCCAAGCAAAGCCTGGCGGGCCGCCAGGCTTATAAAGTGCTAGGGGGAAACCCTGTATCATGACTACCCTGTTTTGTTTGTATGTACTGATTGTGATCATTTGTGGTGTGTTTATAAATAATTTAATGTCGCTGGGTTCCGGGTCGCTGGGTCCTGGGCTCGGCCGACTTGGGGGTGGGAAGTTGCGGGTGGGCCTGTGGGCTTGCCGCTAATTTCTCCCGGGACTCTGCCGGCTGCTGGCTGTGGCCCCCCGGGGCGATCCTCTGCGCCTCTCGAGGGGAGCGGGGGCTTTTCTGGTCACAGTCTCCCTGGAGTTCCTGTGCTCTGGGGCAGCTCCTGGATCTCTGGGACTTGGAGCTCCCTTCGTCTCCTACACATCTTTAGGGGACAGATCTGTGGGCCCTCACACTCTCTATTGGACGCTCCTATAGAGAAACCTTACATAAACAAGCACTTGTACGCACACAAGTGCTCACATGGTGCTCTCATAAGTATGGACTT